GTGCAGCATATCAGTGCCCATCCGTGCAGCCTCATCAGTGCAGCTTCATCAGTGCCCATTAGTGCAGCATATCAGTGTCCATACTGTAAGTGCAGCCTCATCAGTGCTTTATCATCAGTGCCCAACAGTGCAGCATATCAGTGCCCATAAGTGCACCTTATCAGTACCGCCTCATCAGTGCCCCTAAGTGCAGCCTCATCAATGTCCACCAGTGCAGCATATCAGTGCCCATAAGTGCAGCCTCATCAGTGCAGTTTCATCAGTGCCCATTAGTACAGCATATCAGTGCCCATACTGTAAGTGCAGCCTCATCAGTGCTTTATTATCAGTGCCCATCAGTGCAGCATATCAGTGCCCATCAGTGCACCCGCATCAGTGCAGCTTCATCAGTGCAGCATATCAGTGCCCATACTGTAAGTGCAGCCTCATCAGTGCTTTATCATCAGTGCCCATCAGTGTAGCATATCAGTGCCCATCAGTGAAGTCTCATCAGTGCTTTATCATCAGTGCCCATCAGTGCAGCATATCAGTGTCCATAAGTGCACCTTATCAGTACTACCTCATCAGTGCCCCTAAGTGCAGCCTCATCAATGTCCACCAGTGCAGCATATCAGTGCCCATAAGTGCAGCTTATCAGTACTGCCTCATCAGTGCCCCTAAGTGTAGCCTCATCAGTGCCCATCAGTGCAGCTTATCAGTGCCCACCAGTGCAGCCCCATAAGTGCATATCAGTGAGAATTTCATAACAGAAACAAAGAAAAACATTTTTTTTTTCAAAATTTACAGTCTTTTTTCATTTGTTTAGCAAATTTTAAAACCCAATGGTGATTAAATACCACCAAAAAAAAGCTCTGTCTGCCTAAAAATAATGATCACAATTTCATATGGGTACAGTGTTGCATGACTGCGCAATTGTCATTCAAATTGCCACAGCACTGAAAGCTGGAAATTGGCCTGGGCAGGAAGGGGGTGAAAGTGCCCGGTGTTGAAGTGGTTAACAAATGTGCAGTATTTACCTCACATCTAATATTTTACTTTGATTATCTCATGCAACATTTTAAAAAAGCATAACGTGATCTTCATATCACATGCAAAATCCTTTAGTGAACTGACCCGTGTGCCGGGAATGCACACTAAATCACATGCTTTCCTGACACAAAGAGAAATGCGCTGTACAGACCTGTAGCAGTGCCATTAAGGCTCCGTTCACATGTGCGTCACGTGAATGTGCATTTCATTGCATATGTTTTGCATGTTCTTCCATGACACAGCCCATTCACTCTAAATGAGGCAAACACATCAGAAGAAGCTCCCACACCATTTTGGGCATTGAGCTTTGCATGCTTTTTTTTACATTTTTACATGTGTTTGCTGGCCACATTTGGGGTGTCATTAAAGTGTTAATATAGTCTATTTTTTTAAAATTAAAATAACAAACTTGTTCTACTCACCTGCTCTGTGCAGAGGTATTGCACAGAGCAGACCCAATCCTCTTCTTCTTGGGTCTCCCAGTGGCAATCATGGCTCCTCCTCTTTTTCATGTGTCCCCATAGAAAGCCGTTTGCTATGTGGGTATAAGGTATCTGCTCAATCCTAAACTGTGTGCTTATGGAGCCGCACTCCATAGACACAGAGAGCGGGATTTAGCCCTGCCCCTCACTTCCTCCTCACTAAATTTGATGGACAGCAGCAGGAGCCAATAGCTCCTTCTGCTGTTCGAGGCCCCATGTGAGGAGGAAGAATGGGGAGAAGAGATCCCCTTGGATCTATTAACAGTTGCAAGTGCAATGCACTTTATTTGTTTTCCAGGGAAGCACACATTTTGTGTTTTGAATCTGGGCGCTAATAAGTCATTTTGTAAATAGAGAGCACTGTGGTTCCACTTTTATGTTTTCCATAACACATATTATATGAGAGCATCAGCTGGAGGAGTGTATACTGTGGCAGTGCCGGAAGAGGAGCTGAAGGAAGACCAGAGAGGGTGTACACAAGTGTGTCTATATGTTGAGGGCATAATGACCTATTGATGAGGTCATAAATTAAGGTGAGCAGATTTTTCCCCTAAAACACTGAAGAAGAGAGATTTATTTTATACACATTGCACAGTATTGTTATAAGTGACCTTTTCATGGGAAAAAGTATTTTTTTATTGATTTTTATAGAGATATTAGTTTGTTGTGCTACACTTTATTGTTATTCATTTTTGAGACCATATGTCCACATGGAAGAGCTGCTGCTGAAACCAGACCAGAAGCAAGGATTATTAGGCAAGCGCTCTTATGTTTAATAGTTAAATATTGCTGTCCAAAGCTTCTGGGTGTATCTATGTATAGAAACCGGCACAAGTCTAATGTCTGGTGACAAAAGTATATCTGTCCCCTTGATGCTATTTTACATGCACTATAGCAGATAGCTAAGTCTGTGATACATTGTGCGTGTGTAGTGGTCACCTAGTTGTGTGTTAGTAGGTGAACCTGTTTATTGCAATAGAGTTTGTATGCAGCTCTTGTTATTTTAGTTAACCCTGTTCCTTCTGGTCTGGGATTCTATAGCTAATTTTAGCTCACGGCTCAATAACCAACATAGGCTAGAGCCAGGTTTGGCATCCGACAGCCACTTGGTAGTTAGAGGTCTGGTTGCATGACAGATTAGAAGCTACTAAGACACAGAGTAGATACAGTAGGTGGACTATAAGTTCCATTGCCCCACCATGGTTTATGCTGGTGAAAAGCTGCTTTTCAGGCTGGTTGAACAACAACTGGAGGGTCTCTCTATCATCGCAGATCTTGATTTCAGGTCCCCGACACCATGATCATCCTCAGAGAACCCTAAAATTGAATATTGCTACAACATTAATCTTTAGTAATAACTATATATACCAGGGCATACAGTATGTGCTCAATTCCAGAAGGACTCTTGTTGGGCCTATTGTTGATAATACCTGTTTCTCCATTGGATGTATGTACTATTATTAATATTATATAAAGCTTGTATTAATTCAATACTGGTGTGCATCTATATACTTACAATTATTGTTATATGCTGGCTGCTTCACAGTTTTCTGCTGTAGTTCTTCTTCTCCCAATTACTCTGATTAGACTACTGGTAATTTCGTAAGAAGGGAATCCCCTCTGTTCACAGAGGCCCTGTCCGTGGTGGAGGCACTGCCAACCTTATTGTCAAATCCACTCTTACAGCAAGGTTCTCGTTCTCTAATTTACCTACAGGTTTAGTACAATAGCCTATTTGGGGAGGGCCATTTCTCATAAACCCCCAAAAGAGGACTACAGACATATATCCACTACATTGTTAATATGAGATTTTTACATTTTTCACTTTTTATCGTTCTTTTGCAAGTTAGCTCTGAAATAGGGGGAGGCCCTTATTTTTAGGAAGTGATGACAGGTACAGTAAATGCCTTCTGTTTTTAAGACAACTTTGCCATAACCTGTCAGTTTATATTTTCTTGTTTCTGATTTTAAATGGGATTTCAACTGTTTTTCCATTTTGGATTGTGTGGGAAGGATTTAAGGAACTTTTTTTTCTTGCTGTCTGTGTCCTTAGTGGGGACTTTCTCTGTGGTTACCTGGGCATGAAGAGAGCAGAATCTGTTAAATGAGGACAAAACAGCAAGAAAAGCATTTAAGAAGAGCTTGAGCTATTTTGCAAAGAAGAATGGGCAAAAATGTAACTCTTTAGATGTGCAAACTGGTAGAGACATCCCCAAAAAGACTTGCAGCTGTAATTGTAACAAAAAGGTGGTTCTACAAAGTATTGACTCGGGGGCTGAATACAAATGCACGCCACACTTTTCACATATTTATTTGTAAAAAATTTTGAACACCATTTATCATTTTCCTTCCACTTCACAATTATGTACCACTTTGTGTTGGTCTATCACATAAAATCCTAATAAAAAATATTTACATTTTTGGTTGTAACATAACAAAATGCAGAAAATTTCAAGGAGTATGAATACTTTTCCAAGGAACTGTATCTTGGTGGAGGGATGAAGGCTTTTAATATTCTATCAATTTGCTTATTGTTGCTTGTATCCCCATTGGGAGCAATTATCCTTAATTCTGGTCACTGGGGCAGGAAGTAAAGTAAATCTGTCCAATGGAGACACAGACAACTGTAAAAGCATTGCTAGCACAAGGAAGGGTTTGATTCTTTGTTAGTTTTTTCCTGTCTATGATCCCATTTTCTAAGAGGTCACCAGAATAGGAAGTGAAGGGCCACAGAGAGAAATACAAAGTTGACAACCTATACTGTAGTAGATGGTTAAAATCCTGTAAATGTTAATGTCACTTACAAGGTGATTTAATGTTTAACTCCCCCCTTTCACAAACTGAAAAAATGTAATCAGTAAAAATATTCAGGTAGATCTTCAAGAGCTTCACAGTTTTCTGCTGACAGCTTTTGATGGTCACTTATTCAGAAATGAAATGGTGATGGTGGATGGTGTAATCATATTCTGTCAGCAGGTCAAGTTTCTGTTTTTTTCAAAACTCTGGCTCTTGGAGTTCAGGACATGGCATGAAACAGGAAGCCTGACTGCATACCTGCCTGGAGGAATCATGTAACTGAACATACTGATACAGATCAGGGAGATGGATCCGAAAAGATGATTAATTGTCTGTCTTCATATATCCAGGTATTAGTGTATATATCAATTTTCCACTACCAAATAAGGTTAACCCAATGTTTGAGTAACCGTTAGTATCAACTACCTTTCTACATTTTAACCACTAGCCTACAGGGCACTTATACCCCCTTCCTGCCCAGGCTAATTTCCAGCTTTCAGCGCTGTCACACTTTGAATGTCAATTGTGCTGTCATGCAACACTGTACCCATATGAAATTTTTATCATTTTTTTGAGACAGATAGAGCTTTCTCTTTGGTGGTATTTAATCACCTCTGGAATTTTTATTTTTTTCTTAAGCAAACCAAAAACCACTGAAAATTTTGAAAAAAAAAAGTTTTTTCTTAGTTTTTGTTATACAATTTTGTAAATAAGTGATTTTTCGCCTTCACTGATGTGCGCTAATGAGGCTGCAGTGATGGGCACTGATAGGCTGCACTGATGGACACTGATAGGTGGCACTGATGGGCACTGATGAGGAGGCACTGGTAGGTTGCACTGATGGGCATTGACAGGCATCACTGATGGGCACTGAAAGGCAGCACTGATACATGACATTCATACATGACACTGATATATGGCACTGATAGGCAGCACTGATGGCAGCACTGACTGGCACTGATAGGCGGCACTGAGTGGCACTGATAGGCGGCACTGACTGGCACTGTTAGGCAGCACTGACTGGCACTGATAGGTGGCACTGACTGGCACTGATAGGCAGCACTGACTGGCACTGATAGGTGGCACTGATTGGCATTGATAGGTGGCACTGACTGGCACTGATGGGTGACATTGAAAGGCAGCTGAGATGGGCACTGATATGTGGCATTGATGTGCACTGGTATGCACTGATATGTGAAATTGATGTGGCACTGATGGGCACTGGCACATGGCACTGATGGGCACTGACAGGTGGCACTTCTGGGGCCACACTTGATCATCAGTGCCTTGATGATCAGTGTACATGTCCCCTCCGCGGAAAACCGATTACCGGCTCTCCTCTCCTCTCAAGCTGTCAGCGTGACAGCTCGAGAGGAGAGAAATGCCGATAACCGGCATTTCCGTGTTTACATGTGATCAGCTGTGATTGGACACAGCTGATCACATGACCGAGCCAACATCTTCGGCTCTTTCCGTGATCTGCTGTGTCCAAGGAACACAGTGCACTGGCGATCGCCGCGCAGCGCGCTCCCTGAGCCGCGCATGCGCAGTGAGAATGGTAGGACGTCATATGACGTCCTATCAGAACGAGAGAACCACCTTGCGCCCGTCATTGTACTATAGGGCAGGCGGAAGGTGGTTAAAGATAAATCTTTGTGTATTAATGGGGTTATAAGGAAACTATAAAATACCTAAGATGACAATTGGCAAGCTTGGCCATCAGCAGAGAATCATGCTAAGACTGCCAGAATCCTTCTATCCACCTATGGCTACATTTCTTTAATACCTCAAAGATTACTAACTGCTGGCATTGCTTTATGTCATACACAGATTGCTTCATTTTTGCAGGAGACATTCATGTCGCAATTGTTTGAGCATTTTTTAAATATAGTCATGATGATAATGCACTTTGGATTTCTTTTGTTTAAGTAATTTTATACACAAAACCAGAACACTTTTTATAGTGTTAGGTATCCTATCGAAGGCTTACAACTTATGTCAGACTTTTATTGTAGTCTGTGTCCCCCTTGGAGGAGATTCCCCCCTATCAGTCATGGTGTTATGGTGACCATTTGACTATACTAAAACTGGGACAGAAAGATCTGGAATACCCAAACTTTAAAATTGTTACAAGAACAGGAATAGAGGGAAATCTTTCAATGGGAACACCTGTTCTAGTGACAACCAGCTAAGTCTACTCTATCTAAAACTAGGATTCTGGCTTTAGATATACCTTAACTAGAAAATGTAGTACAGCATACAAGAGTGCACACCTCACGGGCCTTAAAGATCCAAGAGATCCATATTGTTTAAGAATTCAAATCAAAGTGTAGCATGCTGATTGTAACAGACATCTGTTTGAAACACTTGTGAATAGTGTATGGTAGCAAAACTATTTGGCCAGCTAAGTGAAACAAATGCAGGGGTGTCAAACTGGCGGCCCTCCAGCTGTTGCGAAACTACAAGTCCCATCATGCCTCTGCCTTTGGGAGTCATGCTTGTAACTGTCAATCTTGCAATGCCTCATGGGACTTGTAGTTTGGCAACAGCTGGAGGGCCACCAGTTTGACACCCGTGCTATAATGAAAAGCAGTCATGTGAGGATACTTAAACCCCATTAGCTAGCACCTGTAGGTCTCCTGTTGTTAGTATGCAGTAGGTGGATCCTCTGTGTTGCCAGGAGTAGAGGTTGGCACTCACCATTGTGCAGAACCTAAGAATCACCCAGTCTACTCCAAAGCCCCATATGATTGGGAAGGAATTGACTGCCTAGCAGCTCCCAGTTTACACAACACAGGACAACCCTCTAGAGCAGTGATGGCGAACCTTTTTGAGCCCGAGTGCCCAAACTGCAACCCAAAACCAACTTATTTCTTTCAAAGTGCCAACACTGCAATGAAACCTGAATATCGAGCTTTTGGTTTAGAAAAAACAACTCGTACAGTAGTGCAAACTAATTAACAGTACAGGGATGACCAGAGACTGCGGACACAGTACAGGGATGACCAGAGACTGCGGACACAGTACAGGGATGACCAGAGACTGCGGACACAGTACAGGGATGACCAGAGACTGCGGACACAGTACAGGGATGACCAGAGACTGCGGACAGTATAGGGATGACCAGAGACAGTGGACAGTACAGGGATGACCAGAGACTGCGGACACAGTACAGGGATGCCCAGAGACTGCGGACACAGTACAGGGATGACCAGTGACTGCGGACAGTACAGGGATGACCAGAGACTGCGGAAAGTACAGGAGATGACCAGAGACTGCAGACACAGTACAGGGATGACCAGAGACTGCAGACACAGTACAGGGATGACCAGAGACTGCGGACAGTACAGGGATGACCAGAGACTGCGGACACAGTACAGGGATGACCAGAGACTGCGGACACAGTACAGGAGATGACCAGAGACTGCGGACAGTACAGGGATGACCAGAGACTGTGGACACAGTACAGGGATGACCAGAGACTGCGGACAGTACAGGGATGACCAGAGACTGCGGACACAGTACAGGGATGACCAGAGACTGCGGACACAGTACAGGGATGACCAGAGACTGCGGACACAGTACAGGAGATGACCAGAGACTGCGGACACAGTACAGAGATGACCAGAGACTGCGGACACAGTACAGGAGATGACCAGAGACTGCGGACAGCACAGGGATGACCAGAGACTGCGGACACAGTACAGGGATGACCAGAGACTGCGGACAGCACAGGGATGACCAGAGACTGCGGACAGTACAGGAGATGACCAGAGACTGCGGACACAGTACAGGGATGACCAGAGACTGCGGACAGCACAGGGATGACCAGAGACTGCGGACAGCACAGGGATGACCAGAGACTGCGGACAGTACAGGGATGACCAGAGACTGCGGACAGCACAGGGATGACCAGAGACTGCGGACAGCACAGGGATGACCAGAGACTGCGGACAGCACAGGGATGACCAGAGACTGCGGACAGCACAGGGATGACCAGAGACTGCGGACAGCACAGGGATGACCAGAGACTGCGGACAGCACAGGGATGACCAGAGACTGCGGACAGCACAGGGGATGACCAGAGACTGCGGACAGCACAGGGATGACTGCTGACCTTTGGGGAGGGAGGGGGAGTGGGTACCTGAATTTGACAGGTACCCGCTCTTACTTCCGCAGAGTTTTTTTTTTTATCTTACCTGTTCCTTTATCCAGCCGCGCGTTGTCTTCCCGGCTTCTGTAGTGTGGGCGCTCGTCGGACAGCCGGATGCCCAGTGCGCATGCGCGAGAAGCGCTGCGCTTTGTGATTGGTCCGGCGGCTTCTGGGATCTGTCATGTGTCCCAGGTACCGCCTTACCATTCACAAAGAGCACTGCTTCTTGTGCATGCGCACTTGGGACCCGGCTGTCACGCACACTACAGCCGGGAAGACAGCGCGCCGCTGGATTCTCCTGGCGTGCCCACAGATAGGGCTAGGCGTGCCGGCTGTGGCACGCGTGCCACGGGTTCGCCATCACTGCTCTAGAGACTGTTGATTGTTGAACAAGACATTGCAAAGTAGCAATATACTTCATATACCATAACGAGGTGTAGATAAATACAGGCCTGAGGTCTGGTTAGGTGGCAGACAGGCATAGTTGAAGAGCCTGGCAGATGGACAGGCAGCAGACAAATAGCAGTTTTTAGGAATCCAAGCTCAACCATAACTAGGATCAATGGTTCAGAAGTGGAAACCAGACAGGAAGATGAAAGGTGACCAGTAGAAGTCGGTAGAACGTTCCAGAGAACATGACTAATCATAATCATAAAACAAATCAGCAACCTTCCCAAAATTTTGACAAGAAGTAACAGACGCTTTTTCACAGGCTAAGTTCACCTTTTTCCAGGAAATAGCCTATATATTTAAGGGACCCCAGTAGATGTTAAAAAATTGCAGCTTTGTAAAAATGTTTATTTATTGTTATACCTGTAGGCCTTTTGGGTTCTTCCAGAAGCCCATTTACAAAACTTAAAGTTAGCAACCCCAATGTTCTGGCTTGTTGCTAGGAGCACAAACCATTGGTTTTCACTCCTGCAGAGTGTCAGCATTCAAAGTTTTTCACGTAGTAGCAACAAGTTAGTACATGGGGGTTTCTAACGTGGAGTTTTTCAAACAGGCTTCTGAAAGGACCCAATGGCATATGGTATGACAATATAATGAATTAAAATTTTTACAAAGCTGCATAGTTTTTGAACATCTACTGGGACCCCTTGACTGCATAGGCTATTTTTTGGAAAAGCTTAAAAAAAAAATCTAAATCGTATTCTGTCAGCTATGTGCTGCATCAAGCCCAAGTCATAGACAGCCATCTTTTCACAGCTTGTTCTTTCTCCAATGCACTCAACAAACTGTGCACTTATCAAATATGTGGGTCATACAGTGCTATTTATGTTCTCTGCCCAATCCAGTTCTCTGCTTCTCCTCTCAACTTTTCAATCGCTTTTGAGCTTTCCACCAAGTAGTTTATATACACTATTCTGTATTGCTCAGCCGGAACATAATCCTGTCAATACTGAATAAATATGTATAGTTAAAAACAGCAACTGGAGAGATGATAAAGTGATGCTGAAAGCTATGTGATTTTATATTTGCACCTTTAATAAATACTTTTATGTTAGTGGCCTTTTGTTGGTAATGTTCTGTTCCTGTTGAGCACTGGATAACCACCCATGTAAAGTCTACTGTCATTAGTCTGAAAGGAGAAATATATATTATCTTAGCCTTTTATTAGCCTTTTTTGGTATTTTGGACAAATTGAATTGTTTTTGGATGCAAGTGGCCCCATTAATCAATCCTTTCAGCCTTCAGCAACTATACAGTACAAATATAAAAACAATTGCCCAATTTTGTTATTAAAGTGAACGCACAATGCTTTTGTGCTTGTACAGATTTTATTTTATAGCCAGAGACAAAAAATGCAATAAAAAAATTAATACATTCTCTGTTTTTAATTCAGGTAAATTGAAAATATTTCATATGAATGTGAGTATGTAAGGGTTTCAACCTCCCAAAAAAACTCTCTATTAATACACACCAAACTGAGCATGTGCAGAGTGCCTCCTATGGCTCTGTACTATCAGCAGATGGATTGGGAACTGTGGAAGAATGGGAGGATCAGAGACAGGAGCAAACAACCTTTAGGTTCCACAGTGAGTATAATAAGCATGTTTTTACTGCATATACAGACTGAATTTAATGTTGTGGGTGTAGTCCCCTGGTCCTAAACTGGGGTTATTATGCAAATTTAGTTTTTGACTGGGCTGTAGTTAGCACAGACTGATTATACAGTTTCTTTATTTGGCTTTCCCCTAATCTCAGTTGGGCCATGCATCTCTCAATGTCGCCAGTAGGTGTCACTGGTACCACAGGTCATAAGATTGCACAAATGGAGTTGGAGTTGTTAATATTCATATTTCTTTCAGGCAGCCCAGTAGGAGGTTCTATGCCACTGGTGCATGCTGAGAGAGGATATAACATCTGGAGTGGACCCCTTGCCCATTCTCTTGCCTCAGGCCGTGGATTGAGGCGGTGCTGCAGATGAGAGCTCTGTGTTAGGCCCAGAAGCCTGTCTGGACCTACCCACATTTAAATGGTCCTGAGGCTGTCCTGCCCAGGGTTGAGGAAGCTGAGTCAATGTGAGAAGATCCAGGGGAGGCCCCTTGCTGGATAGAGCCAGGATGAAGGCTGGTCTCTCTAAAGGACCTGGTGACTTGCTTGGAGGGCGCACTAGATTATGAAAATGTGTTTGCAGTGTTGCCAGGTCAGCTTAAAGTTTCTGACACTGTGAAGCTGGACTTTGTTCTTGATCTAAAGAGTGATTTGCATGGCATCTGAAACCCCTAACCCTTTCCTTCCACCTCCTTTCAAGTTCAACATTAAAGCTATGAAAAGACCTAAAGTGACTGGTGCCCAATTTTTCTTCTTATCTCCCTTTAATAGCCATGGACTCAGTCCTGGGGTACACGCTAGCTCACTCCCTGCCCTTTGGAGGTACCATATCTGTCTTTGGGAGAGTCAGGGGGCCACTACATGGGTTTAGTAACACTTTAAAACTAAAGTTTACAGTTTCTCATCCTCTTCCCTCCCTTTCACTCCATTGAGAGCTGTGTCTGAGGTTTCAGTCAAAGACATTGCCTGAAGCGAGATAGATTAAGTAATGCTCTTCTTTTTTCTAGAACATTCAGTGTACTCTGTCTCTGGGAATCCTTTGTCATGTTTAATAAGTATTCATTGCTATATCATAATTTTTGACTATGAATTTTTCTTTAAAACATATCCTGACAGGAAATCTGTATATAACCAAGATAGATATATTTATAACTGTGTTTATTTATACATATTTTATTTATTCAGGTAATTATGGTACATACAAAAAAAGACATATTATTGCTACATGCTTAAAACATACTGCACGAGAAAAACATCACTGGCACAGAAATAGCATACGCATGGGTAATTCCTCTGCATTAAATTGTGACTATAGTATATCAGAGGGCACTGTCAATCGACAAATTAGAAGCTTAATTTAATCCTGAAGCATTCGGTCCATAATTATTGGAGGACCTAAAGGAATTCCAATATAACCTGAATTATGCAGCTACTGCTATCTTCATTCTTCAAAGACATTGAGGTATTGTATGGCTGCATTGTCCTCTAGGGCTTGGCGCACAATAAAACATGGGGGCTGATCAGGACTCGGATTAAATCCTCTATCCTCCTATCTCTCTATTGCAGCTGTGAACTGGGAAGCATTTTCCAATAAGCGATTGTCTTCTGGTCTAATAATCGGAAAGCTCATCCTATTCTAGTAATCTCTTATCTGTGTTTCCTGAGAAATGCACAGCCCATAGTTTTATGTTAGACAGGAAATAAAATCAGAAAGATTTATTTTAGGAAAACAGAAAAGAAATACGAGAGAATGTAAAGTTCCTGCTGTTATATTTACAAAAAAATCCCCTTTCACTTTTATCTTAGTCATTGGATTTAGCTGTACCTCAGCCTGTGGCTAGTGCAGGTGCATCATTGACAATTTTTAAATAAAAAAGACATAAATAAATATATATATATATATATATATATACATATATATATATATATATATATATATATATATATATATATATACACACACTATATTGCCAAAAGTATTGGAACGCCTATCCAAGTCATTGGATTCAGGTGTTCCAATCACCTCCATTGCCACAGGTGTATAAAGTCTACCACCTAGGCATTCAGACTGCTTCTACAAATATTTGCAAAAGAATGGGTCGCTGTGATAGGTTGTCACCTGTGCAATAAGTCCATCCGTGAAATTTCCTTGCTATTTAATATTCCACGGTCAACTGCTAGTGGTATTATAAGTGGAACAACAGCAACTCGGCCACGAACTGGTAGGTTACGTAAAATGACAGAGTGCGGTTAGCGCATGCTGAAGTGCACAGTGTGCAGAAGTCGCCAACTGTCTGCAGAGTCAATAGCTAAAGACCTCCAAACGTCATGTGGCCTTCAGATTAGCACAACAACAGTGCGCAGAGAGCTTCATGGAATGGGTTTACATGGTCGAGCAGCTGCATCCAAGCCTTACATCACCAAGTGCAATGCAAAGTATCGGACGCAGTGGTGTAAAGCATGCCACCACTGGACTCTAGCACAGGGGAGATGTGTTCTCTGGAGTGACAAATCCAGCTTCTCTGTCTGACAATCTGATCAACGTTTCTGGGTTTGGCAGTTGCCAGGAGAACGGTACTTGCCTGACTACATTGTGCCAAGTTTAAAGCTGGGGGGAATTAAGGTGTGGGGTTGTTTTTTAGGGGTTGAGCTTGGTCCTTTTAGTTCCAGTGAAGGGAACTCTTAAGGCGTCAGCATACCAAGACATTTTGGAAAATTTCATGCTCCCAACTTTGTGGGAATAGTTTGGGGATGGCCCCTTCCTGTTTCAACATGACGGCGCACCAGTGCACAAAGCAAGATCGATAAAGACATGGATGAGCTAGTTTGGGGTGGAGGAACTTGACTGACCTGCACAGAGTCCTGACCTCAACCTGATAGAACACCCTAGGGATGAATTAGAGTGGAGACTGCGAGCCAGGCCTTCTTGTCCAACATCAGTGCCTCACCTCACTAATGAGCTTCTGGAAGAATGATCAAACATTCCCATAGACACACTCCTAAATCTTGTGGACAACCTTCCCAGAAGAGTTGAAGCTGTTATAGCTGCAAAGGGTGGGACAACTCAATATTGAACCCTACGGACTAAGACTGGGATGCCATTAAAGTTCATGTGTGTGTAAAGGCAGGCGTCCCAATACTTTTGGCAATATAGTGTATATATAAATATAATGAAAAATATTATTAGTGAGGATAAAATGGTATTAAAAAAAAACAAAAATGTAGTATATTGGTTATCCATCAACTAACATGCTTCCTGTCTTAAGCCTCATACACACAAATAGAATTTTGGTAGAATGATCATCCCTTTTTTTTTTGCATGCTGGTCTCATATCAAAAATGAAGAGGTTACTAAAGTTGCAAAAATTCTCATGTGACAGAACACGACTTTGGAAGTGATGTTAAGTATTGTATCGCATTGTATTGTAATGTATTCTTTTATTTCTGAGCATGTGTAGTCTTGGTCTTCCACTTTTATTTGGACAACTACTGTACTGTTTAAAATAAAATCATTCATTTTGATATTGTACAAGAAAAATGTTCGTGTTTGTCTCTTCAGATAATTTTGCATGAACTGTCATGATCGGCTCTAGATATCTGTGTACTAACAATCAGATTATCGTGAGATTACTTCGAAAGCGATATTTTTCGTCTGATTTTCTGATTGTGTGTATTAGGCATTAGAGTGTCTCCAGCCTGAATGGAAGAGCAGAGACCTTTGGAGATGCAGCAGCATTGTCAATTTTGGAAGAGGATAGTGTTAGATGCACTCACAGTTTTAGGTAAACTTTATAAGCAGTTACAAAAACAGGTTCCCTTTTGGGATGAAGGTGTTACATAAATGAATACAAACTGACTCTTGTAAACATCCTGTGAGTGTTAAATGGTTTATCTAAATCCTACAGCTGCCACATTTTATCCTGATAGCTTGGAGTGTTGAAAAATAACAGACTTACTGGCAGGATCATCAGGTAAAAATCAAAGAAAAAAATCCCAAAAGAAAGTAAACAAATGCAAAAATCACATCTAAGAATTGGTAAGTTTCAATGTATTACATTTTGATTTAAGGTTTAATACTGCTTTAATATGTTTGCAGCAACTCTGCACTGCAAGTGTCACAGTAGCCACCAGACTGTATGTTCTCTAGGTAGTGGCGTGCCGAGGCAGGTCCGGGGGGTGCGGTCCACACTGGGTGACACCGACCGCAGGGGGGTGACACCGGACCTGCTCCACAAAAAGGTAAGTTGTAAAGCAAGCCGACGATCATTCTTTACAACTTGCCTTTTCTTGGAGCGGGTCTGGTGTCACCCCATATAGGTTGCATGCAGACGATCCAGTGGGGTGACACCGGGGTATCGGCAAGATGTGTCTCCCATGTAGATATGTCCCCCTGAAGCAACTGCGCATGTCCCGATTTAAAGCATGATCAATCGATGATAGAACTACTGCTATCATCGATTGATCGTGCCTGAAACCGGGGCATGCGCAGTTGTCCCGGACCCGCTTCAAGAAAAGGTAAGTTGTAAAGAAAGCCAACGATCCCCGCAGGATGGATCGATCTGCGGATGAGGATAATGGATCGGAGTCCGATCCATTATGCTCAATCCGCAGATCCAATCCATTCTGCGGGGATCGTCGGAGGGGGTGTCACCAAGTGTTACCACACCGGGTGACACCAACCCTAGGGATGCCTCTGTCTCTAGGTCCTTGAACCTTAAGTGACATCCTCAACAATTCAGTGTGCTGACATCATTTAGAAGGCCCTCACAACCTCCCCAACATCAAAGTTAATTTAAAAAAAATCAGACCTCAGATAAGACCATCTGTTCCAACAGCCAGCAGACTGTCAGTGTTCCTGTATAGTTTACAATAGTTCTTTATTAGCTGGGTGTGGGGCTTTTTTGCCCAAATCCCCCTGTACTCAGTAATGGCACCTCCAGTAGTACTGGAACGAGGGGGAAGTGGGTGGGGAACATCTGCCCTGGGTGCAATGTTTTCATTTTCAGGAGGTCTTTCACTTCTTCTGCTGGGCTGACATCTAATGCAGAGTTTGGCAGAGAAAGCAAGAAGTGAATGACCTCCTTTGTTGAGTGAAGTAATGGACCTGTGCAGTGAGCTATACTGTATATATATTTTTGGGCACATTAGCACATGGATTGTTTGAAGTCAGTCCATTGAATTCAGTGCAGTTTACAAGCATAGGCACTGTACTCTGCTAAGCAAGACAGTACCAGTTTAAACAAAAAATAAGATTTGTGGGTTTGATAGCTATTGGAATAGTAGGATCCATATGGGGGGGGGTCTGTTTTTTTAGATCTAGGTGTTGAGAAAAGTATAGGGCAGGGCTTTATTAACATGGCACTTTTGCATGTGGAAAATTCTGGTGACCCCCTTGTATAGTTATTATATTAATATTATACAGGATTTATATAGCGCCAATAGTTTGTTCAGCGCTTTACGTATTGTTGAAAAAACATTCCCGGCATGCCTTAAATTTAACGGATTTTTTAAAACTGTTATATCGATGGGTTTAATTCCACATTAACATTTATGTATAGGTTCACTTTTGTTTAACCAGTTCATTGCATTTCAATGGTTTACTTTACAGTACTGATAAGTATAATTTAAAATTCAAAATAACAATGTAGTAAAACTTCCCTAAAACAGTACTGTTGATGTTTTAACTGTCATTTTTTTTTTCTATATAATGATTAATTTTTCATATGCCGCTAAAAATGTAGAAACTAAATATAGAAATATTCCCTTGCTTCTTTTATGCTGACATCACCACTAATATACGTCCTAGGCAACCAATTTGAAATTTTGGCTATATTAAAATGCCAACCTCATTCAAAAGTATTGTTGTTAGAATGTTCAATGACATTGTTTGATTGATTTACTATAGGAGTAGAGACTGTTTAGCAACACCGTTGCACATAATTGAGTATTAAAGTGCTGGGCATTAAAAGCATTCACCTTATGAACATACACTTTGTAAATTGAGTATTCACTTTGCTGGGTGAACAACCTTCTCTTTTCAAGTAAATCAACCCCACTGTCTCCTTAGTTCTATCATGGTCTTCAGTGCCTAGAGATTCCTAATTCAGATTAACATCAAAGGCCATTACAAAGCCAAATGTTGGTGTCACACTTCACTGATTTATTCTCCATAATGTAGAATAAGCAGATGTTTCTAATAAAACTACACTAATTCTGTTTAACTACCTTGGGAGGTTAGGATAATTAAAAAAGATACACTGCACTGGAGGCTGTACTGTAAAGATAAAGGAAAGGTGCAGTACGGTAACTTTTAGAGAGGAATGCTGGGGATAGGGCTTTTGCAGCCTTGGGGTGTATACTTTCTACAATTTACACATTTGAAGTAAATTTAACAGATGAAATAGAAACCTTTTCTGTTATCTTCAGCACAGAACTAAGTAGAAATGTTTGATAAATCCTTTGGCAAAGTCAGTATGACACTTCATGCCTGAGGAAGTGTGATTTCTCTCCTAAAATGTACTTATTGTAGTATACTACATTCAAGTTAAAGTGGTAGTAAAGGCCTTTTAATGACTTATACCTACAGGTAAGGCTATATTAAGGCCTACCTGTAGGTACAGTAAATATCCCCTAAACATGCACTGTTTGTGATATATTTACTTTAGCAGTGCTAAAGCATGTGCTCTAGTATGCCGTCCTTTAAGAGAGCTGTGCCACGGGAGTGACGTCATTGTGGCACGGCCCTTCAAATGGCCACAGTCCACGAACCTGGAAGGAATATTGGATGAAGATGGAACCCTTGTCAGCAGTGACAGTGCACTGCTGGAGGGCTTCATTTTTAGGTATGTCTTTCATAATGTGCTAGTATGAAATGCATCCTAGCACGTTATGCTCTTAACTTCCATGTAGAAGATATTTTTTCTTTTTTTTTTTGCAGTTTACTATCACTTAATACAAATTAAAAGAGAAATTTAATACAAATTAAAAGAGAAATATGGCTTTTTTACCCCCCAGATATACATACCTAGGTGGATGCA